GGAGACAACAACATGCACAAAAACAAGACAGAGCAAAACCAAGCAACAATGTACAACAAAACAGCAACAACATTACGCCACTGACAAAGAACAAATTAAAATATACCAAAAAAGAAAAGCTTGTGTTTTCCAGTCTAGCCTGTTGGGGCACCATGCCCTGTCCCCAGTGTCCACCCTCATCATTCCCTGGGGATCTTGCTACTCCCCTCCCCTGCTGTTCCGCTGCACTCCCCCAGTGCTTTAAAAATAGCAGTTTTATTGACATATCTTACACAACCCAGTATATCCATTCACATACAATTCTGTTGTTCAATCCCACTGAGTAGAGTTATACAGTCATCCAGGCTATCAGCTCCCCCTTACTCCCTTCCCCTCCTCTCTCTTCCCAGGCCCTCAGGGAACCACTACTTCTGTTATTGTTTCTGCATGGTTATCTATTGTGACTTTCTGAACAATCTTAAATATACAAATGAACATACCCAAATCTAACATGATTAATGAGGTAAAACAAATACTAGCTGTAATAGTAAGGGGAGGAAATATTAAAGAACTAACAGATAATTATGTAGTTCATCAGTGAGATACTGCACCCTGGATTTATTATCCTTTTTGTGTGGCCCTTCTGAGAGGCACTGCCCCCAATTACCTTGTGGGTGAGTTTTGGGTCTCTTGCATCCTTGCCCGTCCACATCTAGTTGGTTGCATGTTTCTGAACTTCTGATTTCTTTTCCCATCAGCACCTCATGATACACAGCCTGGTGTAACTCTTCCATGTGGGCTTTTTTGCTTCCCTGCTGTATTAAAGCACACTTCTGTGAGGGAATCATTCTTTGGAAATGAATAAACATGGTAAATGAGGAAGAACAAATGGTGGTTTAACTCAAAAAAGGATTCATATACTTGATGTGCAAACTCACTTGAGAATTAGATATATCCTCAAGATCCTTTTTATGGTCTCTGACAATCTAAATGCTATTCTTTTTAAAATCTATTTCCCTTTTCCTACTTTGCAAATTCCTGCTCTTCCTATAAAACTCAGCCTAGACTTATATGTGTAAAATCTGTTACCTAAACAACAACAACAACCTCTCCGCCCCCAGAAAAACCACCACCAACAAAAAACGTCTGTTACCTAATGATAGCGACACCATCCTTACTCCTGGGATTGCATGCGCTCTCAGCTAGTGCTCTGGTTACACCTTTCTCAGACTGAGCTCCTTATGAGCAGAAGCCCTGGATCGTATCCTACTAATCTTCCTATCTCTGTTGCTTTGAATTTGGAACCCTGGTGGCCCAGCAGGGTAAGCATTGGGCTGTTAATCATAAAGGTGGCTGTTCAAACCTACCTAGCCATTCTGCAGGAGAAAGGTGAGGCTCTCAGCTCCGAAAGGTTTATAGCCTAGGAAAGCCTATGGAGCAATTCTACTCTGTGTTATGGGCTTTCTATGAATCAGAATCAACTTGATGACAGTGAGCGTGGCTTTGGCTTTTCACTTTGAATAGTGCCTGAACATACCTCAGTCTACTTTAGGTAAAAATCATAGCCAAGAAAACCTTTTGGAAAATTTCCCTCTGTTGTATGGAATTCACTTGGTATGGCACCTAACAATAACAGCAACATAGTACAGAAATAAAAGTTTGTCAGCCTTGACGTTATATGTGGATTTCTCCTTGTTAATGTACTTATTAGGGTAAGGTGACCAGACGTCCTGCTTTTGGTGGGACGGACTGTCCCGATTTTTGGAAAGAATGCATGACAAGCTAGGGAATGGTCTATTTGGTCCATATAGACCAAATTTTTAATCAAGAACTAACCCCCTCCCAGGTCAGTGATGTCTGGCTTTAAATCTGGTCACCTTATATTAGGGCTTCTCTTTTTTTGTCTGTCTAGAAAATGGAATCATACTCTTTGTGCTATTTCATAATTTTCCTTTACATTAATTTTTTGATGGACTATTTTAACAGCCAATCCACTCTTAGAAGCCTTTGGAAATGCAAAGACTGTTCGAAACAACAATAGCAGTCGATTTGGAAAATTTGTGGAAATACATTTCAATGAAAAGGTAAGTGTGAGTGAGTTTAGGGGGCATATTTGCAGAGTTTTTATGATAAATAGAGAAATCGATGAAATTGTTGATTTTCCCATTGTTTCTTGGTAAATTTGAGTTAGAACTGACCTTGGACTCAGTGAATCATGAGTTTCTCTTCTACTTTAAATAATTTGGGGACTATATCTGTTTACTTAATTTGAAGAAATAATCTCCAAGCTCCTTTCATAATTTATAATCCAAATATCAGATCTGACTTTAGCGTTGACTATAACCTTGAGATATTTTTCTTGTAAGTCATTCCAGCTGAACCTGAATCAAGCTGTGGTGCAAAACCAATGTGATTCTACTGGTCCTCAAAGCTTTTAATGTGGATATTTGAAGTGACAGAATGACTTCAATTAAATTAAATTAAAATATAATTTAAAAATTCATTTAGTTATAATATCCTCCATTATTTGATAACCATTGCAATCTCTTTAATAGTCATCTGTTAGAGAAGACAAATAATCTAGCATTGATAAATTTGCTTTAAGACTTTAAATGCAAACCTATGTTTTCTCTCTTTTGGTTTCAGAGTTCAGTTGTTGGAGGATTTGTTTCACATTATCTTCTAGAGAAATCTAGGATCTGTGTTCAAGGCAAAGAGGAAAGGAATTACCATATCTTTTATAGGCTGTGTGCTGGTGCTTCTGAAGACATTAGGGAAAAACTTCATTTGAGCTCCCCAGATAATTTTCGGGTAGGTTTCTTGAGAAGAAATTTTATACAACTGATGCAGATTGAATTGCCTTTAGTCCTAAAACTTGTTCTGGTGTGACTTAGTTAACTGTTTATATGTAGCCTTCATTAAATAAAGTGTAATGTGATAGAATGACAGCTATACTTGGTAGATCTCTTGAAATTTACAACTGAGTTCATAACACAATAAGATGAGGTATGTAATGGGATCAGTAAAAGGATAGATGTTAAACTTCTTATTAATTTAAACTTAATTAGAAATTTATAATAGTTTTGTTATGCTAGCTTTAACATTACCTTTGACTTATCTGTAAAAACAGTTTGGCCTGTGAATTAATATTAATAAAGGACATATGATTGCCTTTCTTAATTCAGTCAATGCCAAATATTTATTGCTTGCCCAGCAGTATTTATTGCATTGTGCCAGGGGTACAAACAAAAAAAAGAAGACACTATTCCTGCTCTCGAGCAACATCGACTGTGGTGGGAAACACACATGCATACATTGACTAACATATAAAATGCTGAATGATAATAATGAGATATGCATAGACTGCTGTGGCAGGCTGGGAGTTTTAGGAAGGCATATTGGAGGGGGGTATAAGCTAGGTAAGAGATAGATATTTCTGGTCGATGGAAAAGCATGAACCGAGGGCAGGAAAGACTTAAAGGGAAAGGCAGAAAGTGGTGGGAGGTAAGACTGGTGAGTTTGGTTTTACTTGTGTGGTTAATAAACTGGTGAAGGACTATTCAGGTAGAATAGGATATATCAGAACTATGCTTTACTCTGGCATTAAAGTGTCATATAAAGAGATAGAGATCCAGGAGGTGGGTAGAAATTAAAACCAGAGGTGGAATGATTAGGAACCTATAATGAAGCAATAGATGAAGCGAGAGGTACTAAGTATCTAAATAGGAGCCCTTGGGTGGCAGATATGGCTGAGCATTTGACTGTTAATGAAAAGGGGTTGGAAGACATGCCTGAAGACGTGTGTCCGAAAGCACAGCCTTGGAAACCCCGTGGAAACCACTTCTCTCTGTAACACTGAGGATTTTGACTGTGGCTGCTTTGGATAGTTTTCAAGTGCCTGAGTTAAGTCACCAATGGCAAGTAACAGAAGAGGGATGCACAAACTACTAGGAGGGAAATGCATAGATTGTGGACATGTAATATGATATGAGAAGCACAAGTCTGAAATAGTTTTTCAATTTTTGATTCAGTTTCCGGGTAGATGTAAATACTGTTATTGGGGCCAGGTCGAAGGTCAGGCCAGACTGAAGGTCAGGCATACAGGGCGAGTTCAGTTGGAATCATCTAAGTGCAAATATCTGGAAGACAATTGGGTATACTATAACTTGAAGGCCATTATCAGTGCTAGAGATGCAGGCTTGGATAGTGTCAGTCTTCTTGTGATAGTTAAAACTATGACAGGGTGTAGATGAGATTGCCCAAGGAGATTGCATAACATAGAGAAGCAAGTGCCAGAATCCAGACTCTGAAGATGAAATGGGTGAACCGAGGCAGAGTTGCCCAAGGACAAAAGTTTATGTGGAATGCTGAGTATCACATGAGCCAAAAGAGTCGACTTGTAAGAATGTTGGCAGTATGGTGAGCATAAATTACAGATTCTCAGCTAGAAAGAGTGTCCCTGTGAGAGGGTCCATGGAGTCCTTGGGTGGTACAAATGTGCTTGACTGCTAACTCAAAGGATGGAGGTGCTTCAGAAGAAAGGCCTGGCAATCTGCTTCCAAAACATCAGCCATTGATAACCTGCCCACTGGACCACAGTTTTCTTCTGTCTGACGCACATGGGATCTCCCTGAGTTGGAATTGACTCTGGAACTGGTGATTGTTATGGGAATCATAGATGAGGGTAAGGAATGCAGTTTGAATCAAGCTACCCAGGTGAATTAGTTTCTCAGAGCTGCTGCATGCATGTCACAAGTTATCACAAACTTTGGTGGTGGTGTAGGATACATGTTGGGCTCCTTACTGCAAGTCAGCATTTCACATCCACTAGCCACTCTGAGGGAAAAAGATGAGGCTTCTGCTCCAGGTAGGATTTATAGCTTTGGAAACCAAAAGAGGCAGTTCTACTCTGCCCTGTAGGGTCACTCTGAATTGGAATCTACTTGAATTCATTTGGGTACGTGGCTTTTTTTTTTTTATCATTTTATTGGGGGCTCATACAATTCTTATCATAATCCATACATACATCCATTGTGTCAAGCACATTTATACATTTGTTGCCATCATCATTCTCAAAACATGTGCTTTCTACTTGAGCCCTTAATATCAGCTCCTCATTTTCCCCGTTCCTCCCCACTTGTCCCTCCCTCATGAACCCTTGATAATTCATAAATTAGTATTATTTTGTCATATTTTACACTGTCTGACGTCTTCCTTCACCCACTTTTCTGTTGTCCATCTCCCAGGGAAGAGGTTATATGTAGATCCTTGTAATCAGTTCCTCCTTTCTAACCCACCTTCCCTCTACCCTCTCGGTATCGCCACTCTCACCACTGGCCCCGAAGGGATCATCTGTCCTGAATTCCCTGTGTTTCCAGTTCCTATCTGTGCCAATGTACATCCTCTAGTCTAGCCATATTTGTAAGGTAGAATTGGGATCGTGATAGTGCGGGGCGGGGGTGGTGGTGGTGGTGGTGGTGGTTACGAAGCATTAAAGAACTAGAGGAAAGTTGTATGTTTCATCGTTGGTGCACTGCACCCTGACTGGGTCGTCTCCTCCCACAACCTTTCAGTAAGGGGGTGTCCAGTTGCCTACAGATGGGCTTTGGGTCTTCACTCTACACTCACCCTCATTTACAATGATAGGATTTTTTGTTCTTTGATGCCTGATACCTGATCCCTTTGACACCGCATGGTCACACAGGCTGGTGTGCTTTTTCCATGTGGGCTTTGATGCTTCTGAGCTAGATGACTGCTTGTTTACCTGCAAGCCTTTAAGTCTCCAGATGCTATATCTTTTGATAGCTGGGCACCATCAGCTTTCTTCACCACATTTGCTTATGCACACCTTTGTCTTCAGCGATTGTGTTGGGAAGGTGTGCATCATGGAATGCCAATTTAATAGAACGAAGTGTTCTTGCATTGAGTAAGTACTTGAGTGGAGGTCCATTGGGTATATGGCTTTTAAACAACAGCAATTCATTGTCTCACAGTTGTGGAGGCTAGGACTTTGAATTGAGAATGATAGCAGGGCTATATTCTAAAAGTTCTGGGGAAAAATCCTTTCTTTGATTTTTGGGTTTCTGTTAGCTTTAGACATACCTTTGACTGTGGAAGTATAGCTTCAGTACTTGTCTCCTCTTTCACATACCTTTCTTCCATTTGTGTCCCTTCTCTTTTTATAAGGACTTGAGTTATAGAGATTAGGGCCCACCCTAATGACCTGTTCTTAACAAAGCTAGTTGTATGTCGGCCAGGACCTTATTTCCAAATTTCCACAGGTTGGGACATGGTAGGTTAGTACTTCAATCTGTCAGTTTTGCACACAATACAACCAGGGATTTTGATATTCCTATTTAAATGAGAATCATCCAAATTAGAATTAGAACACACATGAGTGCGTTTAATTATTACTCCCTCTGTTTATAACATGTAGCACTGGTGGTATAGTGGTTACACACTGGACTGTGATCTGCATGATTGGCAGTTCTAAACCACTAGCAGTTCTGAGAGAGAAAGACTTGGCTTTCTCCTCCCATGAACAGTTAGCCTCAGAAATCCACAGGGGGTCACTTTGAGAAGCATTGACTCAAAGGCAGAGAGTTTATGTGGTGAGTTTTTGCAGCCCAACTCCTCTCAGTATTTCAACAGTTTCTTCTAATATGTATTCAGAAAATGTAAACGTAGTGTTTTAAAATGCACCATTCTTTGGTTGCTGCTAGTTGCTGTTCAGTTGGTTCTGACTCATCGCAACTCTGCCCCCAACAGAGGGAGCCACTCTCTGGTCGTGTGCCATGCTCACAGTCATAGTAATGTTTGAGTCCATTGTTGCAGGGACTGTGTCAGTCCATCTCTTTGGAGGTCGTTTAGATTGCCCTTCTACATCTTGCTTTTAGATCTCACTAAATTTAAAGTAAATGGCTTGTCCACTCAAGCACTTGCTTAGTGCAAGAACACGTTCTATTAAATTGGCACTCCAGGATGCACACCTTCCCGACATGATTGCTGAAGAAAAATGTGTGCATAAGCAAATGTGGTGAAGAAAGCTGATGGTGACTGGCTATCAAAAGATATAATTTCTGCGGTCTTAAAGGCATGAAGATAAACAAGCGGTCATCTAGCTGAGAAGCATCAAAGCCCACATGGAAAAAGCACACCAGCCTGTCTGACCACGAGGGGTAGAAGAGACCAGTTATCAGACATCAAAGAACTAAACACCATATCAGTGGGTGCCCACCTTCCTGATATAATCACTGAAGACAAGCGTGTGCATAAGCAAATGTGGTGAAGAAAGCTGATGGTGCCAGGCTATCAATAGATACAGCATCTGGGGTCTTAAAGGCTTGAAGATAAACAAGCAGCCATCTAGCCGAGAAGCATTAAAGCCCACATGGAAGAAGCACACCAACCTGTCTGACCACAAGCTGTCGAAGGGATCAGGTATCAAGCATCAAGGAACAAAAAATCATGTCATTGTAAATGTGGGTGAGTGCAGAGTGGAGACCCAAAACCCATCGGTAGGCAACTGGACACCCCCATACGGAAGGGTCCCAGGGAGGAGACGACCCAGTCAGGGTGCAGTGTACCAACGATGAAACATACAACTTTCCTCTAGTTCCTAAATGCTTCCTCCCCTCCACTATCATAATCCCAGTTCTACCTTACAAATCTGGCTAGATCAGAGGATGTACATTGGTACAGATAGAAACTGGAAACACAGGGAATCGGGACAGATAACTCCTTCAGGACCAGTGTTGAGAGTGGCGATGCCTCGAAGTTGGAGGGAATGTGGGGTAGAAAGGGTAAACCGATTACAAGAGTCTATGTGTAGCCTCCTCCCTGGGGGATAGAAAGCAGAGAAGGGGGGGGGACATCAGACAGTATAACATGTGACAAAATGATAATAATTTATGAATTATTAAGGGTTCATGAGGGAGGGGGGAGTGGAGAGAGTGGGGAGGGAGGGGTAAAACGAGCAGCCGATATTAAGGGCTCAAGTATAAGGCAAATGTTTTGAGAATGATGATTCTCAACAGTGTACATATTGTGCTTGACACAATGGATGGATGTATGGATTGTGATAAGAATTGTGCGAGCCCCCAATAAAATGATTTAAAAAAAAGTAAATGCTTGTATTATTTTTTGGAAATAGAGGATGCGTTTTGGTGCTATGATTTTTAAATCTGTATTTTACAAATACTCCCTGCATTTGAGTTGATTCTGACTCATAGCGTCCTTATAGGACAGAGCAAAACTGCCTCCTAGGTCTCCAAGACTGTACATCTCTATGGAAGCGGCTGCCTCGTCTTTCTACAGGCCTTTCTCCTGCAGAGTAGCGGCGGGCTCCAACTGCAGATCTTTTGGTTAGCAGCTGTACGTTTTAACCACTGCGTCACCAGGGCACCCCCTTTTGAAAAAATAAAAACCAGATTGTTGTTTTTTTCTTCACATAGCATGGTTCAATTGCAGAGGTTCTAGTGGTGCCAGTGAGGACCCAGGCAAGCCCTATGTGCATTTCTGTCCCCGCCCCCTTTTAAACAGCTTTATTGACATATAGTTCCGCTCTGATACAATTCACCCCTTAATTCAATGATTTGTAATGTAGTCAGAGAAAGTTCCATATGAATTTTAGAAAAGGAATACAAATTGCTGTGAATCGAATGAAATGGAATGTTGGTGGTGTGGCTTTGTCAGCACAGAGCTGCTGATAAAGTGATGTACGTCATCTGGCCTTTCTTTCTCCGTGGAGCTTGGGGGCATAGTTCTCAGTGTCTGTGTTTATGTGGACGTTTGTGCCAGTGCCAGGCATCCTAAGAGGGCAGTTTCTGAAAACCTTTGGCAGGCAGGACCTTCCAGAAGGCCGAATTTTCTATCTTATAGGAGAGTCTGGCCGATGGTCACTTAAATGTACAGCTTCTATCTTGGATATTTCTTGCAGATGCATGCATCTACATATCCTGATCCTACCTCCTCCCCCCAAATAGTTCTGCATTAAAGTCACTTGAAGGAGTGTAGGTAATTTCATCGGATTTTCCTTCACTTTAGTTTAGGCCCCCCACTGATAACATACAGATCAAATTGTGAAAAAAACACGACAGTAGAGTTGATTATTTTTGTTTTGTGTGCATCACTCTTTCCAAATTAGTAAATAATTGTCCTCCGTATTGACTAAATAAAGAGAACACTTGTATTTGAAACACATTTGAAAACATATGTAGTAACCGCACATGTATTTTAGACAAAAGGTTTGACTGTTTCTGTTATCTAAACTTCTCACATATCTTTGCCCAGGTATTAAGGAAGCATCCCCCATGTAAATTAAACAAACCAAACTCCTGCCATTGAGCGGATCCTGGCTCGTGTGACCCTCTAGGGGGAAGTAGAACTGCCCCTGTGACTTTCAAAGGCTGCACATCGTTATAGGAATAGAAAGTCTCATCTTGCTGGTGGTTTTGAACTGCTGACTTTGTGGTTAGCAGCCCAACTTGTCACCACTACACCACCAGGGTGCCGTGTAGGCATGTGAAGATTCTTGGATGTAAAGAAAGCCTGAATAGAAAGGGAATGGATGATAGGAATACTTACAACTTTTCTAGTTACATAAAAGTTGAAGAAAACAAAAGCCAAGTATTCAAAGAATCGTTGGGGTTGGAGGTGGTGGTGGGGGATGGTTTAAGACACTTGCTAGCAAAGAAATATTTGCTTTGGCTTTACATGTTTAAGCTACTGTTATCCTACTAAAAAGAACTATTTTTGAAATAGTCAATTGACAATGCTTTACCATTATTATCCTCCCTCTCCTGCTCCTCCCGCCCTAACAAAGATTCTAGGGGTAGGAGGAATCATTTTGCATATCATTGTCTAATTTCATTGCAATTTAATATTTCATTATAATGGGGGATTTTCTATATTATTTATTTATACCCAAATTATTTAAACTCTGCTATAAAGTTTTCTTGGCGTTTATTTGATTTTTGGTGTACTTAATTTCACAAGTCGTACCGTGATGCAGGCTGACCACAGACATGGTTAATGAAAAGCTAGGTTGTCTTTTAAAATTTTCCATCTTCATCTTGACTGATCTAGCCCAGCAAATGTGGATGTCTGTTCTCTTTGAAGAGAGCCGATATGTGATTTTCTTCTCAGTTGATCCTCTTGTTCTGTGTTTTAAAATTTTTTGTCCTTTAAATACTTCTGGGCAGCAAAGTAAATCATTGAAATAAGAAAAGCCGAATGTGTTATTTTAATTTAAAAAGGCCCAATAAAGGAAGTATTGTAATGTTTGTGTCTCTAATTTTAGCTATCAGTAAATATGAAAGATATATTTTAAATAACTGACTCTAAGTCAGAGGGTCTCCCCTCTGACTTCAGAAACTGAAGGTTACAATTTCTTATTTATTCAGAATTTAAATATTATTGAAAATATTAAACCACAATGAAGGTCCTTGTTTGTGAATCATTAAGTTAAATGGCAGTTTTCATTATTATCTGTAGTATTTATGAACTGTATTTTAAAACAGATACTTAGTATCTTTAAAAATAGATACTTGGTATCTTTAAAAATAGGAAACTTTTGTGGAATTGATTTTTAATAATTTAATCTTTCAGAGAGAGAGATGTTCAAGATCTCTGGTTTGATTAGAAAGAATAAACTGTTATATCCCAGTATTAATTTTAGTTGAGAGAGCAATACTTGGTTTTATTTTGAAGTTCTTTATGGCTAGCCTATTTAACAAGTTGTTTTTCCTGTATTATTTTCCTATGGATTATATTTCTAAATTATATTATTTATTTCTTTGTCATAGTATTTAAACCGAGGCTGCACTAGATATTTTGCTAACAAAGAAACTGACAAACAGATTTTACAGAACCGCAAAAGTCCTGAGGTACAGTAGACTTATTTTTTGTTAAAATATTCATTGCGAATTTGCCATGTTGAAAGATATATTAATTATTTTGGAGCCCAAATAATGTATTGTACTTTTTGCCTAATGCCTTAAAAAAAGGGCACAAAAAAATTAAGTATTCATCTCATTATCTCTGACAGTTCAACACTCAGTGCCTTTCTTGGTACCTGTGGAACCAGCAGGTTTGGAGAGGTTAGGCTACTCTGCATATTCTTTTCAAGTGTGATCATATTGAATTGTCAAAGAATCACTGTCTTTCAGCACTTTTGAAACTTGCTCTAACATGGTATACCCATTTGGGATATAGACTACTAGGAGATGAAAGAGTTTATGAAAAAAATAAAAAGATAATGGAATTTTAAAATGAACTTTTTGAAGCCCCTTCCTATATAGCTATGTACAGAATTATCAAATACATGTTTTACAATGTATTGTCTACATCAAGGTTGAAGCCATGAAGTACATAATAAACTGCGTAAACATTCTTGCTTATAAATTACTGTGTTTATCTTCAGAGCATCATATTTATGTAATGTCTTTATGAAAAGTGTTGTATGTTGATTTCATTAAATTATACTATTTCTAAGAGTAATTGGGTACAATTATACTTTTAAGTGTCATTTATAAGACATTAAATCATTAATTTAAAATCCATGATCACTTATAATTTTCTATTCAGTGTACTTAAGTATTAAGCTGTATTAAGTTTTATGTCCAAGGTTTTTGAATTATGAAATGATGAATAGGGATTTATTATAGATACTAGTTAATATTATCTTTGTTAATTCTATCAAAATTTTTATGTCAAATATTTATTTGAACAAGTTTTATTCCAGTTGGTTGATAATACTGTTGGATCTATGAGTCAGTTATTTTTGAATCCTTAAATTGAATGTAGTCATAGAGAAGAATAGAAAGTAAATGCAAATTCCCATTATTTTGAGTTCTATGCAGATGAGTCTTAAGTTAGATTTTTTTTTCTTAAGTTAGATTTTTATGTGCCTGTTTTATATATCATGTTAGACACATATTTCTGAGCTGTAAATCACAAATTTTATGTTTTAGCCATGGTTGGCACTTTAAGAAGTAGCATTAATACTTATTATGGAATCCTCCTTTGCCTTGATAAGGCTTTATAAAGTACCCTGATAATATACAAGCTGTATTCTCTTATTTTAAGATAATGGACACATTCCTTAGTGGGATATTGCAGCTACCCTAAAGGAAAAAATAGTAATATACATTTGATATTTTGACCTGGGAGAAACTGAGTAGAGTGGAAACAAAACCAGAGCTTCCTCGGCAAAGAAGAAAATGTGGTTGTTTGATTCTTGAGTCAGCATACTTGTCTGTTAGTAATCACATTACTGTTTGCTTACATGTACATACATGAGCGGTGGATTAATATCTCTAAATTACTTTTTATGTCTTCTTTATCAGGAGGATGAGGTGATCATTTTGAATAATTAGAATTTTTTCCCCTAATTTTCTTAGAATGTTTTAAAACTATATCCTTCTTGAGAGAATGCAGTATTCTTAGTCTTCACAATAGCAATGTGTTTATTACATTTGATTTAAACAATTTTAATGAAGCATTCAATCGGGAGACTAAAAATTCTGCATATGATGTCCTTTCTTTTAATGCTGGCTGCATGTGCTTGTTTCCTTTGCTTCTGTGCAGAATGAGATTGAATTTCACTACCTAGATATTTTCCAGAAATTTTGAACAAGCATAATTGAACATTAAAAATATGGAAATATTGCAGAAAGACAATTACCACTTCAAATGGGAAGCCGTTTTGTTTTTTGAAAATTTTCCTGTAAGGTTCTTGATGGCCAGTTGACTTTGTTATCTAATGTTTAACTGTACTGCTTCATTCAGAAATTCTGGAAGATTCCTAGTTTCACCTTGTATCCAGTAACTTATATGTTCCTCTTTCTAGTTTTTGTAGATTTGACTGCCTTCTTCTCTTTTCCCAAGTTTGCTACAAGTTCAACAAATGCATACTTTGAATATGTCCTTTCAGGAAGAAGTACAAACCCTCCATGCTATTAATTTTCTGAAATGCTTTCAGTCATTATAATTTTGTAACTTTGGGTCAGTTACATTTTGTAACTTTGGGTCAGCTCTGATCTATAGTAACCTTATGTACAACAAAATAGAATGCATACATTATCCTTGAAATAAGCAAAATGCTTATTCATACGTACAGAAATATTTTAAAAAATTATTCTCAGTCTTCAAACATTCTGTGAGCCCTCTACTATCAGCCTGTGTTTATTGGTGCAGCTGATAACAATTAACCTGAAGGCAATGCAATGCTGAGTGTCTAATGTAAATAAATTTATATTACAATTGTTTTACCGCATTTTTTTTTGTTCTGTGGATTCGTGCTGCTTTATCTGATGATATTCTTTTTTAATCCCACTCAGTTTATATCTGTATGTAATAGCTTAGTATTATAATATCTTAGGGTTAAAATTATAATGATTTTTTTAACTGAAATTTTTATTGAGACAGTTGTGGATTCACATACAGTTGTAAGAAATAATGTAGGGAAACCTCATAATACTTACTTGGTCATTCACCTTTTGAATGTTATTTTGAATAGTACATTTTTTGCCATAGAAAATTTTTCGTTTTGCATGTGCTATATAGTGCACTGGAAGTCTATTTTACTTAAGTCATATGAACAAGTTAACAGGTGACTTTTTGTGTGGTAGCATCTTAAGGCAGGCGCCTTGAAAGACCCTCTGCTGGACGACCATGGGGATTTCATTCGGATGTGCACAGCCATGAAGAAGATCGGTTTGGGTGATGAAGAAAAGCTTGATCTGTTTCGCGTAGTAGCTGGTGTCCTGCACCTGGGAAATATTGATTTTGAGGAAGCCGGCAGCACTTCAGGTTGATTTTTTGATTTGTTGTATAAAAAGGCATGGAATTACAGAGATGTTTCATTATTTTTTGTCATATGTGATTGGATATGTTTACATGCAGGTTTGTTAATACATGCCCTGAAGTTTCTAGACCATACGGTGTTGTTTGATGAATCTTCCAAATGAGGGATGCTTTGTTATCTGTCAATCTTGGCACTGTTCTGAACAAATCAATGATATTAAACCTTATGTTTTCGGAGGACAAGTCACTTTGTTATTGGTTCCTGTTGAGTCCAGTTTTGGCTCCAGTGATCCTGTGTGCACAGTAGAACTGCCCTACAGGGTTTTGTTGGCTGCAATCTTTATGAAGCAGTTTGCCTTTTCTTTCTCCCTTGGAGCCGCTGAATGAATTTAAGCTACCAACCTTTTGATTAACAGCTGAGTTTCTAAAAATTTTCAACTCACATCATTATGCTTTCTCTATAATTAAAGATATTAATTCTCTATCATTTACTAATATATATTTGATATTTTTCTAGTTTGCTGATTTGAATTTAGATAAATTAATAAGGGTAATTGAACATATATATTGCTATATGTGTCTATATTCTTTAGTAATGGTAAATGTAAATATATTATGCTTCATGCAAATGAAAAAGGATATTTTTATGCCTGGATGATAACAACTTGTCAGCCTCAGCGTGCATAAACAATAAGACTTTGTGTCATCCTGAAACTGATCCATGAGTGTATGGATTGCAGACTGAGGATGGGGTTAAATATAGGTAAGTTCTTTTTGGACACAACCATATCCATTCTTATATGTAGGAGAGTAAGATTAAAAAAGTATTGCTACTAAGGTTTTAGTTTTTACATACATGGGTTATTCCAAACAAAACGTATTTAAACGTGTCGCTGGGATTGGTGAATGGCTGCAGACTAGACGTCTCAGTAATACACTTGTATTAGTTTCACCAGGGTACCTTCAAGGGGAAAACAGCTCACTCTAAACAGGGGCCTCCAAGGGACTCTGCTGGGCCAGTTAAAGTAAGGCAGAGAGATCAGCTCAGTAGGGTGTGACTTTTGGGGGATTCCAAGGCCGTTGTCTTGGTGGATTTTCCCAAAGGCCATACAGAATGATCGTGGGGTTTTATTATGAAGTTGAAAAGAAAATAGAAAACTCCGTTAGTGAGACAAAGAGTTGCACGGAAGCATTTTTCCCCAATCACAACCAGGTACCTGCTCATTCGTGAAGAGTAGCAAGGGTGGTCCCATTAGATTTTCTTTGGGAAAGCTCATGCCATCTACTCTCCTGCCCCAATCTTGACTTCCTTAGGCTGGTTTTTGTTCCCCAAATTCAAAGAACACTTAAAAGGAACATGATTTGATCTTCCTCAAGAATATCAAAACTGCCAAGAGCACAGAATTCTCCTAGGAAGGGTTAGAGGAATGAAAATATCACCTTCAGAAATTGAGAAGCAATAGCATCACATTTTGATATTTTTGTTTAATAAAATGTTTTATGGTTTTGGACGCACTTGTACATACTAGTCAGTACATGGACTTAATTTTTTTCTTTTTTTTTTTTTTGGTGTCAAGCACATTTGTGCATTTATTGCCCTCATCATTCTCGAAACATTTGCTTTCTACTTGAGCCCTTGGTATCAGCTCCTCATTTCCCCCTCCCTACCTGCCCCCCTCACTCATGAACCCTTGATAATTTATAAATTATTATTATTTCATCAGTTTTCAACAGTTTATTGCCTATAATTCACATATCATACAGTTCACTAGTCCAGGCACATCAAGAGAATAACGTTATGCGACCGTCACCACAACCGTTGAAGAAGGTTTTCTCATCACTATTAGCTCCCCATTTCCCATCAACCTCCTTTGTAATCTAGTTATTCTCTCTATAGATTTACTTATCCTGGATTTCATACACAGAAAAACATTAACAAACAAAAAACTAACAAGCATAGCAAAGTAAAACATAAAAACCTCAATAGTAAAGAAAGCGGAAAAAATGAAAAACTAGAACAAACTTAAATGGGTCATAAGGGCGATCAAATGATGGGATGCCAACTGCATCTGTATTTTAACCTAACTGCATCTGTAACAATCTACTTTACAACCATGTATGATGAACGTTAGCAAGGGTAGTCCCATCCCCGGTCAGTGCTTGGATATTAATATCAACCCCCAGAGGCTCTCCGAGCCTTAGGCTCTTCCAATATAAAGTAATCCACGAGGAGTGCTTTTAATGCAGAGTTGTACCTGGTGCTAGTTATGCTTATTGGTAATGGGCCCAAGAAAAAAGGAAAAGATGATTTTAAAAAATAGGTCTCCTATGTGCAAGACCATTCATATATTTTGTTTCATCTAAAGATCATCATAAGCAAAGAAGTTTGAACCGGTGGAAAAGAAAATACTATGATTAATCTGTAAAATGTAAATATGAAACAGGATTTATCATAAGTTATAGTAATTCCGGAGCATATGTTAATTGTCCCTTTTGCCCCAGATCACTGAAGCTCCCTGAGAGTTCTGATCCGTGCATGGGCAGATTGAAATGGAGAGATTTAGTTACTTTCAGGTTTAATTGTCTGTGCTTCTGAAAAGTGAATATATCAGATCCAACACAGTGTAGTGGCTACAAAAGAGCAGATGGTCTCAGTTTCTTCCCTTGTAAAGTGGGAATCATAATAGTTTCTACTGGTTATTGAAAAGAAGAATAGATGAAATAAATATTTGTGAAGAGCTTTGAATATTAGTATCTGACACACAGTACTAACACTGTAAGAGTTTTAAGTGGTAATTAAAATAAGAGCTCATGGTCTATTTCTTCTATTTTACTGATTTGTCATAATGAAATTCCCATTGAAGTTTTTGAGTTAGTCAGTATTGAAATAAAGTATTTACTTAAATATTGACTTTAAAAATATTTGTATTGTGGCAACACGTGTACAGATATGCTTCATACAGTTGATGTGTGGATTATTATAAGAGCTGGAAGAGCCCATTAAAATGATCTTTAAAAAATTGTAGAGTGTATTTTTATATATTATTAGCAATAATATAGTAATAGTAATTAACTTTTATGTAGTTCTTACTCTATACCAGGCCCTATTTCAAACACTTTACATATGTTAACTTACTGAAAATTATAACAACCTTATAAATTAGATATTCTTAGTGTCCCCAGTTTAGAGCTGAGGAAACTGAAGCACAGTAAGTGGTAGAGTCTTATCAACTCAGAGGCTAAAAGTGAGGTAGGAAACTGTCTTCCTATAAAATTGTTTTCTAGCAGTCTTATAAATAGAAATTAATGAGATATGATGAATAGGTAGTAGTAATTGCCTGCTACTTACCTTCTGCCTTCATCTCCAAGCAACACAAATACCTGCATACGCCCACACACATGTAGACACAAATTCTTGTCCAAGTGGACACATTAAAACTTATTTTCACTTTTGCCACAAAATTTTTCTTTGAAGTTTTGGAGACTTACAGATTTTAATAGGGCATTATGTCTTATGTGTCTAGATATTTAATATATCACAGACTATAATTCATCAGTGCATTTTGCTTACAGGATCATAATAATGAAATACTGTCAGGTTAGTATTGACAGACTTGTTCTACATGAAGGCTTTGAGGTGACCTTGACATTCTGCATGTCTGGCAGGGGTGGTGAAAAAGTGAGGTGAAACCAAGAATTACATACATGATAGTTTTTTTAGCCCCTGGCAACAGCTCCTCATCCCGCCCCCCCCCTGTGTTAGTCTGGGTACTTTAGAGAAACAAATCCACAGAAACCCATGTATAAGAGAGAATTTTATATAAAGGTTAAGTGCGCATCAAGAAAACATCCCAGCCCAGTGCTGCCCAAACCCACAAGTCCAACATTAACCCATTAACCCATATGTCCAACACCAATCCACAAAGTCCTCCTCTATCTCACAAAACACACGCAATGATGCTGACTGCAGGAGGAAAGCCGAGTCAGTGAATGTGTAAGCATCTCAGCATTGGCAGGTGTCTCCACACGGCTGCTCCAGCACCCAGGGCTGTATCGGGGTAGGTCCATGTGGCTTCTCCTCAGGAATGTCTTGCAGGAAGTGAGCCTTGCCAGCTAAAGCAGGGGACTGGCTAAGCCAGCTGCACCCTGGTCCGACCATCACAAAGCAAGAGACCAGAGAACTAGAAAGGTTAGGCTCATGGGGTCATTTATCCCTCTGCCCTTCAATTAATCCTACATGTGTTTATTGGCCAGGTTGGCACAATAAACTAACTACCTCACCTCCCTCCCCGCTCCCCTTCCCTCAAGAGCCCTTGATAATTTATAAATCATTATTTTGTCACATCTTGCACTGTCCGACGTCTCCTCTTACCCACTCCTCTCCTTTCAGTCCCCCAGGGAGGAGGTTATATATATGGATCCTTATAATCGTTTCCCCCTTTTTATGTAAATAAAGTGTAATTCAAAGAAATGGGCTTTAAAATGATATGCAAATGTTTATTAATTTATAATTATTCATTTAGTATAGTCATTAATATGTTCCTTAGGTGGTTGTAATCTGAAGAATAAATCTACCCAGTCATTGGAATATTGTGCCGAGTTACTGGGCTTGGACCAAGATGATCTTCGTGTGAGTTTAACCACGAGAGTCATGCTTACAACAGCAGGGGGCACTAAAGGAACAGTTATAAAGTAAGTTCCTCAACTCATTAGAAATTCTCTTTGCTGTTTGTCACGGAGCTGAATCTTAAAGTTGGTCTTTGTGCATAATTCATTCTTTTTATTATAATATTATAAAATCCCTGTCGATAGATGAAAATTCTGTGCATCTCATGTAATAAAACACCATATAAATAAGTGGGAATTTTCATAGCTACTAAATTGCTTTTTGAAGACACAAATTTTAAATTTATAAGCTAAGAGGTTTACTTTTACAGAACTATTAAAATATGACTTAATTGTACAATTAAAGATTTTCTGTAAGCTTTATATAATTTACTTTAGGAGTATATTTCCATGCAAACAAAATGTTGCACGTACTGTGTAAAACTTCAACTATGTAAAACTGACACCTAGCAAATGGAATTTCCCCATACCTTTAGGATTATTTGTTGAGAGAAAATTGCAATGACAAGAAAATGAGGGCATAGCTACAATTTAAACATCAATAACCAACCACCTCTAGATTGTGTCTTGCTATATGCCCTGTTTTAGTTCAGTGTCATATTTTAATACCTTTTTGCTTTTGTCACTGGAAATTAGGATATTATTTGCATTATCATGCTGGGACACTATAAAATTTTCATCTCCTCCATTGCTTGCTAAATAAGACTGGTTGTGGGTTCTAGAGGAGCCCTGGTTGTATAGTGGTTATGCATTGGCCTACAATCTGCATGGTTGGCAGTTCAAAACCACCAGCAGCTCTGCAGGAGAAAGACTGGGCTTTCTACTCCCTTAAAGAGTCATAAACTTGGAAACCCACAGGGGCTAACCATGAGTGAGCATTGACTCAATGGCAGTGAGTTGAGTGGGTTTTAGTGACATATTTCTGTAACTTTCCTAACAAATTAGAATAAGATGGGTTCTTCCCTCCCCCCCCAAAAAAGCTTAAGCCAGTTGTCATTGACTTGAAGCCAGTTCGTGTGTCATAGTGGGTCCCTGAGTAGAACTTTGCACCATAGGAATACTGTAGTGCCAACATTTCTGAAAATCTTAGCAAAGTATTCTTTGTCTGATTCTTTGCTAATCCTTAGTTATTATTATTATAAAGAAAAACCTGGCAAGGCGGGTATAGAGTAGTGCCCCATAGTTGCTCAGAGGCCTAAAGGTTTTATGTAGGACTTCAGGGATCACTTCCGCCATTTGCCGTTTGCGCCAAGGGACTTATGTATGGGTATGAGGTGTCCACAGGAGATTCACTTTTAAAAAGGGTTTCTCTGCGGGAAGTTTTAGTTATCAGACCACTATTTAAAAAGGATTCAAGAATCACACTGACCTAGATGACTTTAAGGAACCTTTGAAATTTCTTTTTTTTTTCTTTCCTGGTATTCTTGTGATACCCCACGCCTCCCTTTCTGACAGCTTTTAGCAGTGTTTGGGAATTTTCTTTGATGCCACTCTCCTATCTTAAGACTGTAGTTTTCTTGAGGGGAGAGGCTGTGTATGCAGCATCAAATACTGGCACACTGTGTGGTTACTTAATATCACATAGTAGAGGTAGGTAATTCACATCTTAAGATGTAAACTCCCCCCCCCCCAAACAATATAAACAAGTTACCATTTTAAAAGAAATTAAGTATAATTTCCTTGTATTTATGGAAAAATCAAAAGGAAGACCAGTATCTGAGTAACTTTTATGTATCTAGCTTGCATAAACAAAAAACTCACTACCATCGAGTCAGTGCTGACTCATAGTGACCCTGTAGGAGAGGGTAGAACTAACCCTGTGGGTTTTCAACATTGTAACTGTTTATGAGAGTAGAAAGTCCTGTCTTTCTCCTGAGGAGCTGCTGGTGGTTTTGAACTGCGGACCTTGAGAATCACAGCACAACTCGTAATCATTATGCCACCAGGGCTCTGTAGGGAAGTGTAAATTAAGGTTCAAAAGGTTTTTCTTTTCAGGCCCAAAGTTCTTATAACCAATAACATATCTATGTCTATATATATGTATATATTAATTTAGGTGATAGTTTTTTAAAAGGAGTCTGGTGGTGCTAATCATAGGGTTGGCGGTTCAAGCCCATAAACCACATAGGATGAAGACAAGGCTGCCTGTTTCTGTAAAGATATACAGTCTAAGAAACCTAAAGGAGCAATTTTATTCTGCGTCTAGAGTCTCTGTGCGTTGGAATGAACTCAGTGGCAGTGGACTTAGATGTTTAATTTAATAGCATGCAGTCCATTTAGTTCTTCTCTTCGTTTCACTGAGCCTCATTTATGCTTATTTACACGTGATTCAGGCACCTTTGTATTTTGTTCTTTCTAGTGATTGTGCTTAGGTGTCTGGCATCCTTTCACAAAACAGCACTGTAAAGAATTCTCATTGGTATCACGCTCTTCTACTAGGGTGCCCTTGAAAGTGGAGCAAGCAAACAATGCCCGTGATGCTTTGGCAAAGACAGTCTACAGCCATCTCTTTGATCATGTGGTAAACAGAGTAAATCAGTGCTTCCCTTTCGAAACATCATCCTATTTTATTGGAGTTCTAGATATTGCTGGATTTGGTAAGTGTAACTGTGAGTTTGTATTTGTTCAATATTTTTTCATTTTGTTTCCTACATTATTTTAAAATAAAATACTAAAAAGTGAGCTTGTCCCTCTTGTAATATTTTTTACTTAATATACTTTAAGCCAGGGGTCCTCAAACTATGGCCCGCGGGCCACATGCAGCTCGTCGAGGACATTTATCCAGCCTGCCAGGTGTTTTTGACCGTTTTGTTTTTTTACTTCAAAATAAGATATGTGCAGTGTGCATAGGAATTTGTTCATAGTTTTTTTTTTAAACTACAGTCTGGCCCTCCAATGGTCTGAGGCACAGTGAACTGGCCCCCTGTTTAAAAAGTTTGAGGACCTCTGCTTTTAAGCTATACACACAAACCTACATTTCATACTATAGTTTAAATAAGAAGCTGATGCTTTAAACAAAATTCCTGGTTAGTTTTGGTCTCACTAATGCTAAAATTAAACACGGTGATTGAAATCACTGTAGTAAAGGGATGTCTCTAAACTCTTAATACAGATGAGTAAAGTAAGCTCTTGAGTGCTACTCAAACTAGTAATTAAGTCATGAACATTTTTAATGTACTTTGAAAAATTGTGCAGAAAGTACAGAGTGTTCTCATCTACTTGAATGACATATTTGCCTATTGTGTAAAGCTGGGTATAGGCTGACCTTGATTATAAGACAACCTGATTACTTTGTATAAAGTTTGTAGCTTTAATAGTGAATAAGTAGGTTTTTCTAATTAATTTTATACCAGATTAAGACCAAAATGAATAATATCTGAGATCCCGTTTGAAGTTGTGCAACCTGACTTGAAATGTGTTCCTTAGACCTCAGTGTTGCTGCTTTATTCTGAAAGGCTTGTAAAATCTCCAAAACAAATCTGACTTTGGGGACCAATTTTGAGTTGGGCTTTATTGTTTCGTTGGCTGTGGGGGGTGGGGGGGTGGAGCCTTACTCCTTTGTGATTAATTTGCCTTTGTCCAAGGAAGGTGTATGTATTCACATTTTAGGAGGAGCAGAGTTTTTGTTTGCCAGCCTAATTCAGTGGGTGTTTAAGATTTCATGGCAAACCTTTTGTTTGAATGCAGAGGAACACCTGTGACTGAATTAGGATTTCCCAGTCTTCAGACAGTTGTTCCCTGACCTGGGCCAGTGTAATGTAGCACACACACAGACTCAAAAACATGTTAGACCTAGAGGGATCTCAGAGCTCATATAGTACAGTTCCTTAATTTTAGCAATTAGTGTTCACAGCATGGATACCTAAAATATTACAGATGCAATCGCAAAAATATTTCAAAACACCTATATTTTAAGCCTTTCTTTGTTTTAATTAACTTTGAGTGCTCTAATAATTCCTGCTTTAAAAATTATGTGAAAAGTGGTTTACCTCTAGTATACTTTGCCAAACTAGAACGGGCATACAGACCCCATCAGGACACGCCAAATCAGAGGAGCCATAAGATATTAAGATATTCCGTATGACACAAACTTTTTTTGTCAAGTGAAACAAGGTATTTTAATTCTTGACAAAAGTTGTCTTGAAATAAGTATTTGTGTAGCATAGAACAATTGCATTTGTTTATTTTTACTTATTTATTTTACTTATTTATTCAACTAAGCATTGACGTATTAAATTGTTATCCTGCAGTGAATTTGAGTAGGACGTTGACCTAGTGATGACTCTCACTTTTGGTTTTATGTTTTCAGAGTACTTTGAACATAACAGTTTTGAACAATTTTGCATCAACTATTGCAATGAAAAACTTCAACAATTTTTTAATGAAAGGATTCTGAAGGAGGTAATTGCCATTCTATTTAAGAATTATATTAAGCAATTTAAAATGTCAAGGCCCAGAGCTGTGCCCATTGCCTTGATTGAGGCACTGTAAGAAAAGGTGGCCCAGGTAATCACCAAAGCCTGGTTGCTGCTTAGGCGCATTGGCCTCACTAATGACATTGCGGGACCTCTGGGGATCCAGCCCTTGGTAGATGCCTTGTCAGAAGCCAGGAACATCATTGCTTCTTAGTAGTGATTTTATCAAGCTTAATTTTGCTGTTTCTTTTTTAATTCTGTTGTCTATTTCTAACCAGCTTAGGACTTTCATTATTGCCATTTCTTCTGTCCTTCCAACAAGTCTCTCTGCTTCTGCCCACTCGACATGCTCTCTCTGGTAGCAAAACGCTCAAGCCAGGAGTTTTGATGGGGTGTGGAGCGTTTGGCTTGGGCATGTCTCCAGTCCAATAAAGAACATCTGCTACTTAGTAAATTACTGTGGACATGGGGGAACTCAAAATTGCAAGTCTAATAAAGCTACTTTATATTTTTCCAAAGAGTTCAGAAGCACAAGTCTGTCCAGGTAATCTTGCCGGAGGTGATTTGTGCTTAGTCTCACTACTTTTTCCTCTGCTAGTTCACACCTGCAATGCTTCCTACCAGGACCCTTGAGCTTGCCTCCTTTGTACCTTTTGAGATATGTTTTACTGAATAAAGACACAAGGAATTAAATGGATTTTAGAGGTCTTCAAGCCTCGCTTTTTTCTTTACAGAAGAAACCCAGTTTTCTGTGCATTCTGCCATTTACAAGATCACAGGAATCTGAGCTTATACTCATGGCTGCTGGTCAACAAGACTGCTCCCTTCCGTGTTCTGACTCTGCTGTCTTCTAGGATTCTGTTTGTCTGTATGGTTGAAGGAGTGTGAATATCTCTGTGCTGCTCCAGCTTCGCCCTCCCATCTTTAGTGTCTCGTTGTTTATGGGCTTCCTACAATATTCTAAGTTTGTACATATTACTTATATAACCAATTACATTGGGTTGACTCATGGCAATCCCATGCATATCAGAAGAACTGTGCCTCATAGGGTTTCAAATGGCTGACTTTTAAGAAACGAGTATATTTCAACGTGCATGTAGGTGGACTTGAACCGCCAACCTTTTGTTAAATTTTTACATCATTGGTTCTCCTTTACTTATATATTGTTGTCATTAGTTGCTGTCAACTTAATTCCAACTCTAGTTAGAGCTGCTTCATAGTGTTTTCACAGAAGCATATTGCCAGGCTTGTTGTCTGAGGTGGCTTTGATGGGTGGGTTTGAACCATTAACCTTCCAACTGGTAGTTGAAAACATAACTGTTTGTGCCACAGAGGAACTCTTTCTTATATACTATACTCACTGCCATCACGTCAATTCTGACTTACAGTGACTGTATAGGACAGGGTGGAACTGCCCCTTTGGCTTTCCGAGACAGTATCTTTTTATGGGAATAGAAAGTCCCATCTTTCTCTTGCAGAGCGACTAGTGGTTTTGAACTGCAGACCTTGGAATTAGCAGCCCAATGCTTCTCCAACAGCACCACCATGGCTCTTCTGAGCAAGATATTTTCTCTAAAATATTTCTTCTAACTGCATTCGTGCTTCAGTTGCCATGAGATGTTTGACACGCATTCTTTCTGCTTAGCAATCTCTAACCTTTGCCTTTCACATAAAACCCAATGAGAGGCTGTATTTAGAAAGAAGAACTGTGTTAGAGGGAACTGTGTCTTGATTTAAGTTTATTTTCTATTATAGTCTTAAATATGTACATTTTAAATTCAGGATTGGGTTTAACTGGACAGTACCCTCTAGAATGACAGAAATTTTTTCAACAATCAGAAACTGTTAAAACACATTAATCTAAGCCCATTGTGTGCTATATCTATCTATGGTTATGTGTATGTATATATAGGTTTAAAGAAGATATTAGACTTATATTAAATATAGAGACTCAATTTTGGTTCATACAGCTTTTTTCCAAGTTACATTTATTTCCAAATGGTATGTACTTTGTATATTCTGTCACATACACAGATAGGGTTGCTATGCGTCAGCACCTACTCAGGCACCTAATGACAACATTGCCTATCAGCATGAAGCTGTGGGAAAGCAAACTGCTCTTTACTTGATTTGGGTGTCTGGCTACAGATGGTCAGAATCGATGCTAGCCATTTTTTGAAAACTAGGGCTATTGGGACCTGTAAGAGATACTTCAAAAGGGAGCTGGCTTCAGATATAGATATCTGAACTTAAAAAATTGATTAAATTAAGTTCTTTTGTTCCTTCGAAAATTCCAGGGGTCAGAAAACTATAGTCCTGGGGGGTCACATCTGGCTAGCCACATCTTTTGCAAATAAAGTTTTATTTCTTTGTTTACTATTATCCGTGATTCCTGTAACCCAGTGACACAGTACAGCAATTTTGTGGAGACTGTATGATCTTCCAAGCTGACGGTATTTACTGTCTGGCCCTGACACATAATCTATTTTACTGAGAAGTCCCCCAGGTTTAAAGTTGCAAAACATGTTTCCAAGTCATGGTTTTGGAGTTTGGGTGGTTATCAGTAGGGTTCTCTGTGTTGATGGCTGCTCCGGATACTTCAAGAAAAGTGCTTATCTTTAAGAGAAATGTCTGTTAACCATTTATATTGATAGCACATCGCTTTGGACAAGGTTTCCCGCACACCCCTAATGTTTTTTAAGATCTTCCTCTCCATCCCATACAAGTTTGTGTTAGTCTGGGGAAACAAATCCACAGAAAGTCAGATGTATAAGAGAGAATGTTATATAAAGGGTAAGTGTACATTAAGAAAGCCTTCCAACCCAGTGCTGTCCAAGCCCATAAATCCAACATTAGCTCTTATGTCCGACACCGATCTACAAAGTCCTCTTCAATCTCACAAAACACACGCAATGATACTGACTGCAGGAGGAAAGTGGAATCAGTGAGTGTGTAAGCATCTTAGCGCTGGCAGGGGTCTCCACACGGCTTCTCCAGCACCCAGGGCTGCATGGGGTAGGTCCATGTGGCTTCTCCTCAGGGATGTCTTGTAGGAAGTGAGCCTTGCGAGGTGAAGCACGGAACTGGCCAAGGCAGCTGCACCCTGGTCCAACCATCAGAGAGCAAGAGACCCAGGAACTAGAAAGGCAAGGCTCATGGAGCCATTTATCTCTCCGTTTTTCAGTTAATCCCACATGTGTTTATTGGCCAAGTTGGCACAATAAACTTTACCTATATCAAAGTTTGATAGAAATCTTTATACTCTGACAAATCAGTAAATGTTACAGGCAGACATGGTACAGAACACAGAATGTTTCATGTTGCACAATACATACAATTATGCTTATTGTGATTATTTCATTTATTAGGAACAAGAACTCTATCAGAAAGAAGGCCTAGGTGTTAATGAAGTACATTATGTCGATAACCAGGACTGTATAGGTATGTATGATTTAGCTCTACTTTTGGCATATATGGGAAGATATAATGAATGAGTTTTGTAGTGATTTTTCTGTCCTCTATAGTTGTTATGACTGGCTAAGGGATTTAAGATTATGATATTAGGGAGAGGTTCTACATCTCCAATCCTATTGCTTGGGAGTGGTTTCTGGCAAGACCTCAAACTCGGTTATCTGAGCAGTTTTGTAAAGTCTGTTCTACTTATGATGATGGACATATCCTGCTGAAGAGGTTACATGTGCAAGCACGTGCGGGAGAGATTGAGCTGCTTGAGGAGTAGAGGGACGCATGAATTCCCGGGTTGGCCAGGCTCCCGGCGTTTGCCAGGCTTGGTTTTCCTGTGAGTAGGTCTGCTCCATCCTCCTCAGTTCATTGCCAGTGTCTTCGGCCTGGTTACAAGTTGACTTCAGAAGTCTACATGTCACATCCAGATCAGACTATGCAGTGGGAGAACGGCATCTGCGTTTTTGTTCTGTTTTTAACTGTTAAGAAGTATTTCCTGGAGACTTCCAGTAAGCACTATGTCACCTTTCCTTTTCCGATCCCATCTCTAAAAGCATTAAATAAACTTTGTTTTGAAAGCCGAGTTTGACAATGCAATGTGACAATATAGTACCATGCATTGGATTTGGACAAGACATTATTCTAATAATAGTGCTATTATTTTATCAGTGTAGCTTTCATCAGAGCACGTTTCTCTCCTACCTATAAAATCCACTTGGCACAGCAGATCCTCTCCCTCCTCTGTGTCCGGGACTGTGTGGTTTGATAGCCTGGGGTGGATGGAACTCCTCTCCTTCTGTTTATCCTTCAGCTCCCGTCACCCTCTGCCCACACTCAATTAAGAACACCCCACTCCAGTCTCTCCAGGGACACCGTTCTCTGATCAGCATCACTAGAATCTTGATGCTTTGAAACTTAAATCTTGTTCAGCAGTTCTTAAATCCCATAGTTTAAGCAGTCCACATTTTATAGCTGTTTTTGACAGGCAGGAAACTTCAAAAAAGCTTGACTAGAAGTAGAAAGAAGATGTGCTGTTGCGGAGTAGATTTTCTTTGAGGATGTACTTTAAACACATGTATAAAAGTAGTGCACACAAAGCTTCCTGGGTTTTGCTTCATCTTGAGTGTAGATGACATTTGGAACAGGTGATATATTTGGTTTTTAGCCTCTCATCCCAACTTACAGATGAAATGTTTTTATATTAATCTGCTTTCTTTATGGAGTGACTTTTTTCTCTTAGCCTGTTTAAAATATATCTTTTCATTTTCTAATACATTGTCAGGTTTGACATACTACGTGTCGACCTTTCATAGACTTTTAGAGAATGTATAGAGTCATATTTTACAGTGCTTCTTACCAGTCCTTGAAATTTGTGATCAGTTATTACCTATGTATTTTTATAATTTGGTTTCTATCCTATTGTAAACATTTTTAATTGCCCCCCCCATTGAAATAGATTTAATTGAAGCAAAGTTAGTGGGAATATTGGATATTTTGGATGAAGAAAACCGCCTTCCCCAGCCAAGTGACCAACACTTTACATCTGCAGTTCACCAGAAGCATAAGGATCACTTCCGGCTCACTGTGAGTGTACCGTTCCAAACCTGAGACTGGTCACTGGGAAGAGAAAGGGGCCCTGCTTCAAACACCCAGCTGCTCGCAGAGACGTTGGCAGTTGGAAGCCACCAACTGCTCTGCTGGAGGAAAGTGGCAGGCTTGCTTCTTCCACGAAGATTTGCAGCCTTGGAGACCCCCGGGCCACCTCTCTCTGTTCTCTTAGGGCTCTTGGAGTTGGAGAGTTGACTCAATAGCAGTACATTTGGGATGGGAAAGAAAATCTTTCAAAAGACACATTTACTCCACTTCACCTTCATGAGATAGTGATAGATTGTATGGGTTTTAAAATGACAATGCCACAGCCAATGCAGCATCTTTTGTCAATGCAGATGAATTTTTTGATGCTGGTGATCTGCCTAACCGAGGCTTTTTTCCTCTGGGTGGGAAGAGGTATGAGGAGAGGCTGGATTATGTGTTCTGAGAGGCCTCCAGGCTTTACATTTAAGAGGTCACACACCAAAGTCTTCCAGACCTGGGGGAAATGAAAGTGGGATCCAGCAGGCATAAGTGTTTGCTTGCAGTGGTGACAGTTGATGTGCTGACTGCATGGCTGGCGGTGATGGAGATGGTGGGTGAATCGAAAAACCTTGTCTACAGGGTACTGCCTCTGTCCAGCAGTTGCTTACCATGTTGACATCTTTACCCATCTGTGATACGGAAGAAATTTACCTGCTGTCTCCTTGTGCCCTTGACCACACGTCAGGAATCCCAAGGGATCCTAGGGTCATAGCCATCTCTCTGCTCATGTGTAAGGCCAGCAGTGAAGATCGTGCCTTTAGACTGGTAGAAGCATTCTGTGTTAGACAATTGGCAGATTCATTTTGATCCTCTTTTCTAGAGAGAGGGGATGGAAGCAGAGGCAGTAGAACCATCAGCAGGACTAGAGAGGAAAATAGAGCAGCAGGAAGACATGAGAGGTAGATTTAACGCCATCAACTTGCTTCCCTCAACTGCTGTGGGTCATAGAGCTTTGCTTGAACCTGTGCAGCAGTGAGCAGTAGAGCAGGACTCTCTGAGGCCACACTGTGTGACTGTTGACGTATTTCCTGTGCAGCTCTAATTCTAATCTTTAAAGTCGGTCAGCCTCACTGGGGCTAATAATACAAACATAGCTCATTATTGCGTGAGAAAGAGCCAGGTTAGCACCAAAGAAATGTGATGTTGGTTTTAGCCACAGCAACAGTTAAAGTGTTTGCACACTCGCAAAGGAGAGAGCACTGCTTAGTGGAATTAAGGAACCGACAGGCAGATGCCTCCCAGATTATACATTATTTCGAGATTTGACCCTGGGGTAGCACTTGGTGCTCTAGTGCACCCAGGAGATTGAGGGGTAATGGGTGTTCTTGTTTCCATGCCTCATTAACAAAGTTAAGAATCTGTGGGCACAAGGTTAAGTGGATTTGTTTGAAAAACTGATGTAATTCTGTTAACCTTCTCTAAGGACTCAATCCTACAACCACCTCTCCCATTAACCTGGAACTCTATACCTAAAGAGTCCTTGAAATGTGGAGCCTTTTTCTCTGAGTTCACTCGATTGGTTTAGAGCACCGCGTACACACTCACCAACTGTGGAATAGGATGGAAGATGATTGAGGTCTGTCTATTGGTCTGTGCGTCCGTCCTTCCTCCCCTGGTCGTCAGTTGTTAGCTGCCATCGGGCTTCCCGCCGTGCATGCGATCCCGGGTGTCACACAGTAGAACTGCTCCGTAGGGTTTCCTGGGCTGTAGTTTTTCAGGAAGCAGATTGCCAGGCTTTTTCTTCTGTGGAATTTCCAGCTGAGTTTAAAGCCCTGAGCATTTGTGTTAGTAGCGGATAGCAAATTGCTCATGAAATTGTAACCAGTGTCTGACAGTCATCCAACTCAAAGGGCAGCAAGTGCCATGCATGTGATGCAGCCACTTTTCTTAGAACTATGAGCAAGGCAATGAATCCCACTTTGTATAGGTCATTAATTTTGTTGTATTAATTTGAAAAATTTAAAGAAATCATTTCTTGAACACTTATTATGTGCTAGACACTGCTGTAAGGGTTTTGCTTGAATTTTAAAATACAATCCTCACAACAGTCATATTAGGCAGTTCCTATTAGGAGTCTTACAAATAAAACCTCACTGCGATTGAGTCAGTTCTGATGCAAAGCTGCCTTGTAGGACTGAGCAGAATTGCCCATGTGAAATTTCAAGACAGTAACTCTGGGAGTTGAAAGTCTAGTCTTCCTCCCTTTGAGCGGCTGGTGATTTTGAACTGCTGATGTTAGGTTAGCAGCCCAACTGATAACCAGGACGCTACCAGGACTCCTTAGGAGACATACAAAGAGAGGCCAACTGGCCGCTGTGTATCCCCCAGTGAGGAAGTGGTAGCTTTGGGAGTCAGGTTCTGGCAGTTTGGTTTAGGCCCCAGACTCTTACGTGTCCCCCACAGAGTGTAAAGTGGCACTGTAGTCTGTTAGCTCTTTGATCTTAAGTTAGGCACATAAGATTCCCAAGTCCTAGTTCGCTCACTTTTAAATGAGAAGTCCTAGTTCGCTCTCTTTCTTAACCTAAGGTTATTTTGAGGTCAGATTTAATTTTGACTCAAAAAAGCATTTCCAAATTAATATACAATATACACATAAGAAATGTTCCACTTTGATAAACTACTGCCATTGGTCCTACAGGACAGAGTAGAACTGCTCCCTAGGGCTTCCCAGGCCCTACATCTTCCCAGGAGCTGAGGCGCAGCAGGTGATTTCCTTTGAACTGCTGACAGAGTGGTTAGCAGCCCAAGATGTAACACACCACACCACCACCTCTCAAGTGACTTGCAGTTGGTTGCCCTTGAGTCGGTTTCGGTTTTCGGAGACCCCAGATGTGCAGAGTAGAATGCTCCGTGGAGTTCCTCCAGTAAATACAGGCCTATTGTCTAAACATGTTAGGATGTATGGTTTAAATCAGTCAGATTGCTTCAGGCTGATTTCAGGTGGGTTTTTTTTTTTTTCAATCTTTAAAAAAATTCCACTTTATTTTTAACATGTTACATTGAAGATAGACATAATAATACACATGGTGCATATATGTATGCATGTGTGACTTCTAACCAGTTTTTCTAGTATATGTTTAGGTATTCTTATTTATCTATTTGTTTATTTTTAAATCGTTTTATTAGGGCTCACACAACTCTTATCACAATCCATACACACATCAATTGTGTAAAGCACATTAGTACATTCATTGCCCTCATCATTCTCAAAACATTTGCTCTCCACTT